ATTTAATACTGTTTATTATAAACAGAGCATTTACTTAAATACTTGTATCTATAACAAAGAACGTTAAACATAAAAATGTCTTTAATAAATAAATTGTCGGACTTTGTCCATTTCTTAATATATATATATATATATATATATATATTTGTACTCACTCGTAGTATTTGAGGTACGAGGGTCCTAGAGTTCAGCTTGTATTATGTAAAAATTATAAAAGATTGCAAAGAAGGCTAAGTAGTAAATAAGATCTTACACTATTTGTTCATATAAATATAAAGACAACAAAGACAACAAAAAAAGATGAAGGTGTGTATATAAAATTTGGCACTCATTATTAGACAAAATATTTTAAATTTACATCGAACTATATGCACTGTATAAGATCAGTCAATTATGTGTCATGCGCGAAACACACTTAGGCTATTATGTTTCTTTCGATACATAAATGGCAATGCAGATTTTTCCCGCCATAGACCAATTGCCATCCAAGGCTATAAATCCCGGTGTGGAGAAGAAAAGTATTCAGACTTTTTCCGAGGGTATTAGTACGTAAGTGAATGTAATGGATTCGACTAAAATTCGAACTCGGCTCTCCGATTCCTCACTCTGAATCGCTATCCGTTAATCCTTTTTCCCGCAGTAGGTTGCCATTTTTTTCTGCGGTAGACCAGTTACCATCCAAGGATATAGAACCCGGTCTGTCCTGCTATTTACCCATAGCTGGAGGGAGAAGAAGAAGATTCATACGTTTTCCAAGACTATTAGTACGTAAGTGAATGTAATGGATTCGACTGGAATTCGAACTCGGATCTCCGATTCTTCAATCCGAGCCGTTATCCTTTACTCCTTTTTCCTGCAGTAGGCTGCCATTTATTTCTGCTGTAGACCAGTTGCTATCCAAGGTTATAGATATGTCCCCCTATTTACCCATAGCTGGAGGAGTAAGAATAGGATTCATATCTTTCCCAATCTAATGTAATGGATTCGACTGGAATTCGAACTCGGCTCTCCGATTCCTCAATCCGAGCCGCTATCAAGTACTCCACCGTGCCTCCCATTCTGCACTACTGAACAAACATTTTTTTCCATGAACTTGAGGACCTTTTTAACAGCTGTCTCTACTGAGTCCAAGACATCATCATCTTTCGTATTTTCACCATTATCGGAATAATTTGATTCTTCTTTTATTTCTTGACAATCCAAATCATTTTCAAGCAATTCTACCATTGAATTCTTTTGTAATTCATTAGTATCTTCATTTACCAATTCTTTTAAGCCATTCAAAGTGAGAGGATTCGGCGGATCATCTTCAAGGGCAAGTTTTAGTTTGTCGTTCAGATTCTGCAATCCTTGTTTGTTAATTTGCAAATTCAACGAATTAAGAGCTTCAGACATTTTTCAAGAATCTGACGTCACGTAAAAGAATTTCTTTTTTTTTTCCTGTTAAAGTTTGATCCATTCAATATGGGTTGAGAAATTTCAAGTTAAAAACGATTATCTGTAAAGAAAAGAAAGATATTTGAATGTAATACAATATCTAAATGGCAACACTGAGAAGTTTGGATATGAGGACTTCTACTGTATTTACTTTATAGAAAACTGCTTGTAATAATAATTGATGGAACTAAAGATGATATTTACTATGATTTTATCGAATATTGAGACCCACTAAATTTGTTATCTATCAGCAAATTTTCTGTCCCACTTGGTACCTCTTAACCGTATTGGCCACGTTGAAGCTTGGTAGCAAAAAAAAAAAGTCAAAAAAAAAAAACATCGGTTGTGAAAAGAAAATGGTAGGCTCATAAGAGGGCGTTCGTTCTTCCAAACTTGATAAAGATAACGGTAATCTAACATTTCGCATTTTCTTTCGTTGTCTAAAGGTTCCGACTTGAAAAAAATATGGCAACAAATGTCTTGACACAAAACAACACATGGCCATCGTAAACAATATTGATCCTTGCTCTATGTTTATTTATTTTTGACCTGGGAACAAAGGTATTGATCTGAAGCCGGAGAATTTTTATAAAAAGAAAGAAAGCTCTGGTGTTGCGCGCTTACGTTTCTGTAGTCCTTTGGTAACTGTTATCTTTTTTTTTTAGTTTCTTTTGGTTTCATTACTTTGAGCGACAGTAAACAAGGTACGCCGGAGTGGTGAGAAGTTATCGGCCAAACCGAGAAGTCTTACCCAAAATAAATTCAGGTGTTTGCCGATTTTTATCAGATTTACGGTAGAGAGTCGCTTTGAAATCCTTATGAATAATGGATATTGGCTCAGAAGGAAAATCGGAGTGACGGGTTCGAATTGCAAATGTCTTCGTTCATTGTGGGCAAATACCCTTACGAAAGGTATGGATCAGTCACAGAATAGCAGAGAAAAAAAAATAAAAAGCCCTAGATTTCATAGCCTTGGTTTGTAGCCAGTCTACCGCAGGAAGAAACGAAAACTTACTTATATGTTGGTATCCATCACTTCTCCTTCCAGCTATGGGTTAAAAAGCAGAAAAAAATCTAAGTCTATAGCCTTAGCGGCCAGTCTACAGCAGAAACAGCAAAATCATCTACATTCTATAATGAAGCGAAAGAGGGATGATCGCTCAAGCGTGTATCACGTAAGGCATTTGACTGACGGAACTCAATACGCAATGGGTACTCGGCCACAATGATTATGTTTCTATGTCATACTACGCATTACGTTTTCAAAGCAAGGCGATAAAGCCACTAGGACGCAAGAAGATTTTAGAGAGGGGAAACGAGGAAAAGGACAACAAAGGATTTAAGAAGTCAGGAAATTTCAATTGATGTTGGATTTAATTTTTTTTCATTATTGTAGTTACCAGGGAAGCAAGAAATCGAAAAAGAGATGAGCCAGAAATAGAATATAATTGACGGCTAGTTCAATACTAAAACGGTGAGACCTAACTGTCAATCTAGTAACGCGCTTAAAAAGCTGCGGAGAACAATCGCCAAGAAAATATTTGAAGAAAAGACAGAGGGAAGCATAGTTACCTCGGTGAGGAAGTGACTGAAATTGAGATGTCAGGTCAGGATCGATTACATTACAGACCATTCTTTGAATTTCTGTCAAGTATCTCTAGATATATAGCAGGAACACCAGACCCGATGTGGCAGCCATGTTCAGTGCACGGACGAATGGAGACTGGTGAGAAGAAATGTCTGGCAATTGATTCAATATAGTCATTTCACTTCATGTGAGAGAAAATTAACTCTCGTGAATTTATGTCGGCCAAAGGACTCGAATCTCTCTTTGCATCCCTAGAGATATATTTATAGAGCCTTAGAATTACGTGCCGTTGCTTAAAAACGTTGAAAATCACTGGATCTAACGCTATTAATATAGCAGAAGAAAATCCACGTCATATCGGTAAGAAAGTGACTGAAGATGAGATGCTAAGTCAGAATTGATTATATTACAGATCATTATTTCAAATTTGTCAAGGATTTTTGGATATAAGTAGCAGGAACACCAGATCAGATATGGCAGCGGTATTTAGTTCGCGGACGAAACGGAGTACTGAACTGTTACGTAATATCAGTCCTCCTATATGGCAGTGAATGCTGGACAATCTCCTCACAGATGAAGAAGTGACTTGGAACAACAGAAACAAAGAAAAGAGTACTGAACTGTTACGTAATATCAGTCCTCCTATATGGCAGTGAATGCTGGACAATCTCCTCACAGATGAAGAAGTGACTTGGAACAATAGAAACAAAGAAAAGAGTACTGAACTGTTACGTAATATCAGTCCTCCTATATGGCAGTGAATGCTGGACAATCTCCTCACAGATGAAGAAGTGACTTGAAACAATAGAAACAAAGAAAAGAGTACTGAACTGTTACGTAATATCTGTCCTCCTATATAGCAGTGAATGCTGGACAATCTCCTCACAGATGAAGAAAAGACTTGAAACAAGAGAAACAAAGAAAAGTGTACTGAACTGTTACGTAATATCAGTCCTCTTATATGGCAGTGAATGCTGGACAATCTCCTCACATATTAAGAAGAGACTTGAAACAATAGAAACAAAGAAAAGAGTACTGAACTGTTACGTAATATCAGTCCTCCTATATGGCAGTGAATGCTGGACAATCTCCTCACAGATGAAGAAGAGACTTGAAATAAGAGAAACAAAGAAAAGTGTACTGAACTGTTACGTAATATCAGTCCTCTTATATGGCAGTGAATGCTGGACAATCTCCTCACATATGAAGAAGAGACTTGAAACGACAGAAACAAAGAAAAGAGTACTGAAATGTTACGTAATATCAGTCCTCCTATATGGCAGTAAATGCTGGACAATCTCCTCACAGATGAAGAAGAGACTTGAAACAACAGAAACAAAAGAGTACTGAACTGTGAATTTAGGGCCATCTACAAATTAAGAAAAAATTGAATTTGATGGAAATTTTGCATTATAAAATGTTAAGTGCAATTGACTATTTTTCAATCAAATCAATTCCACACACTTCGATTTGAAGGAACGATTTCCGATTTAAAACAAACAAACTGTCTTTTCTCAGCTTTATTGGACTTTCATATTTTGCTACGTTTTAGGGTTGTTTTTGTTTTGTTATTTGGTCGAGTTTGCTCAGCACTTCATAAATATATTACACGAAGATGAAGAAGAGATTTGAAGCATCAGAATTGTGGTTCAACAGAATGATTCTGAGAATGCCCAGAATTAAACCTGTGAGCAACGACGAAGTGTTGGACAAAAGACAAACGAAAAAGACTCTTATACTGAACATCAGAAAGGGACAGCTGTGGATGATACTGAGGAAAGAGGGCTTGAAAAGTTTGATACTCCCAAGACAGATTGAAAGCAAGAAGGGCAGAGGTAAACAAAGCGTAACATAGGGAGCTTGAGTAAATGGATCGCAGAAGCGGGATTAGGGAAGATAGCAAAAATATCAAATTTACTAAACGCTGCATACGGTGGAGAGATATGATCGCCAACGTCTTGAAGGGTCATGGCACATAGAAGAAGAAGTAGAAGAAGAAGAAGAAGGAGGAGGAGAAGGAGGAGAAGAAGAAGAAGGAGAGAAGAAGAAGGAGAAGAAGAAGAAGGAGAGAAGAAGAAGTAGAAGAAGAAGAAGAAGAAGGAGGAGAAGAAGGAGAGAAGAAGGAGAAGAAGAAGAAGGAGAAGAAGAAGAAGAAGAAGAAAAAGAAGAAGAAAGGAAAAAGAAGAAGACGAAGAGGATGATTAATAAAAAGCATAGGAAGAAGAAGAAGAAGATCATGATGATGATAAGATTAGGATAAGAAGCGAAGATGAAGGAGAAGAATGAGAAGGATGAGAAAATGATGATGATGATGATGAAGAAGTAGAAGAAGAAAATGAAGAAAATCAAGAATAAAATCATTAAGAATAAGATGAAGAAACAGAAGATGAAGAATAAGATGGAAGAGCAGAAGAAGATGAAGAAGATGAAGAAGATGAAAAGATGTCGCAGAAGAAGATGAAAAATAGAAGATGAAGAATAAAATGAAAGAGAAAAAGACGAAGAAGAAGAAGATAAATAAGAGGAAGGAACAGAAGATGAAGAATAAGGCGATGAAAATAAGATGAAGAAGAAGAAGAAAAAGATGAAGATACGAAAAACGAAGATGATGATGATGAATAAAAAGCATAGGAATCATAATAATAAGATGATGATGATAAGCATATGAAGAAGAAGCGAATATGAAGGAGAAGATGAAGAAAAAGTAGAAAATGAAGAATAACAAGGTGAAGAATAAGATGAAAGAACAGAAGATGAAGTTGAAGAATAAAATGAAGAAAAGGCAGAAGATGAAGAAGTAGAAATTGAAGAATGAGAAAATGAAAATAAGATGAAGAAGTAGAAGTTGAGGGAACAGAGGATGAAGAATGAGAAGAAGAAGAAGAAGAAGAAAAAGAAGAAGAAGAAGATGAAAAAGAAAAGAAGAAGAAGAAGAAGAAGAAGAAGAAGAAGAAGAAGAAGTGGAATAAGGGGAAGAAATAGAAGATGATGAATATGAAGAAGAAGAAGAAGAAGAAGAAGAAGAAGAAGAAGAAGAAGAAGAAGAAGTGGAATAAGGGGAAGAAATAGAAGATGATGAATATGAAGAATGAGAAGAAGAAGAAGAAGAAGAAGAAGAAGAAGAAGAAGAAGAAGAAGAAGAAGAAGTGGAATAAGGGGAAGAAATAGAAGATGATGAATATGAAGAATGAGAAGAAGAAGAAGAAGAAGAAGAAGAAGAAGAAGAAGAAGAAGTGGAATAAGGGGAAGAAATAGAAGATGATGAATATGAAGAATGAGAAGATGAAAATAAGATGAAAAAGCAGAAGAAGAAGAAGAAGAAGAAGAAGAAAATGAAGAATAAAAAGATGAATAATAAGATGAAGGAGCGGATGTCGCAGAAGAAGATGAATAAGTAGAAGTTGAACAATAAGAAGAAGATAAATAAGAAGATGATGAATGAGATGAAAGAGAAAAAGATCAGGAAGTAGAAGATGAAGAATAGAGAAATGAATCAGAAGATGAAGAAGTCGAAAATAAGATGAAGCAGATGATGATGAACAAATAGAAGATAAAGAATAAGATGAAGAATAAGGCGATGAAAATATGATGAAAAGGCAGATGAAGAAGTTAAAGAATAAAACGAAGAAAAAACAGAAGATGCAGAAGAAGAAGAAGAAGATGAAAAATAAGAAAATGAAAATAAGATGAGGCCGAAGAAGTTGAAGGAGTAGAAGATGAAGAATAAGATGAAAAAACAGAAGATGAAAAATTAGAAGAGGAAGGAAAAGAAGCAAGAGAAGAACAAGATTTTTAAGCTGTAGAATCTGAATCAAATGAAGTCGAAGATGGCGATTAAGAAGATAAAAAAGAAGAAAAACAAAATTCTATAGCATTTACTATCCATTCACAAAACCAAGTGCAGTGATATGATTTTTTCTCTGCACATTTGTACGAGAGAACCATGCCTACGTCCGGAAAAAAGAAAAAAAATCTATTATGATGTTGAGCCAATTTATACTTGGCGGAATCTCTCCTGTGTATCATTTCCTTATCTTCTATAATAAAGTTTCTATAACTTAACCATATACAGAGGTACCTGAATTTTTTTATTAATTCCACATTCTGAATTTGGTTGATTCAGAGTAGCTGCTAACAATGCTATACATTCTGTTTTTTGGAAACGTCTGAGTCCTGCTTCCTGCAACTGTTAGTAGACTATTTTTTTTTTTTTTTATTCAAGATAATTCTTATCCAAATGAATACCTATGCTATCAACATAACTCCCACCTCTCATTATTAATAAACTGTCCTAAGGAGGGAGAGAAATATAACTTTTCTTATCAGAAAACTCTCTAGTTCCATTGTAGAGATACGTACCAACTACACGATTCTGGTTAAAAGGAAGAATATTCAGATATTCTACTGAGTACAGAGATTAGGTTTATGGCTTCCAGATTCAAGTGGATTGGCCAAAAGACTCCCGGTCTAATCGATTAAAGTGCTGGTTAAATCCGATCCAGATTTCCTGACCATCCCTGGCCTGAGTACTTTGTATCATGGAAAGAAACAGGTAAATGACAGAAAAAAAAGAAAAAAGAAAGAATTGCAATGTAGTATATCTCCAGAGACGTGAAAGTGGAATAAAAACACCCCGCTTAGTTGAAAGAGTGCATAAAGAGTTTGGTGCAAAATTCAAAGATTGCTGGGTACGTCATAGAACACCCAAAGGTCCTGGAGTATAAAAGCCAACACAAAATTACTAGTATCTGTCTATATGTCTGAGATGAACTGTTAACATTATTCGGACTATTGTCCTCATCTTTGTCGCCATATTTATTACAACGTTTCGGCCTTTCAGTATCTGTCTATATTTCTGAGATGAGGTATTATGTACACTATTTCCATTATTCGGACTATTGTCCTCATCTTTGTTGCCATATTTATTACAACATTTCGGCCCTTTAGTATCTGTCTATATTTCTGAGATGAGGTATTATGTACACTATTAACATTATTCGGACTATTGTCCTCATCTTTGTCGCCATATTTATTACAACGTTTCGGCCCTTCAGTATCTGTCTATATTTCTGAGATGAGGTATTATTTACACTAGTTACATTATTCGGACTATTGTCCTCATCTTTGTCGCCATATTTATTACAATGTTTCGGCTCTTCAGTATCTGTCTATATTTCTGAGATGAGGTATTATGTACACTATTAACATTATTCGGACTATTGTCCTCATCTTTGTCGCCATATTTATTACAACGTTTCGGCTCTTCAGTATCTGTCTATATTTCTGAGATGGGGTATTATGTACACTATTAACATTATTCGGACTATTGTCCTCATCTTTGTCGCCATATTTATTACAACGTTCCGGCCTTTCAGTATCTGTCTATATTTCTGAGATGAAGTATTATGTACACTATTTAAATTATTCGGACTATAGTCCTCATCTTTGTCGCCATATTTATTACAACATTCCGGCCTTTCAGTATCTGTCTATATTTCTGAGATGAAGTATTATGTACACTATTAACATTATTCGGACTATTGTCCTCATCTTTGTCGCCATATTTATTACAACGTTCCGGCCTTTCAGTATCTGTCTATATTTCTGAGATGAGGTATTATGTACACTATTAACATTATTCGGACTATTGTCCTCATCTTTGTCGCCATATTTATTACAACGTTTCGGCCCTTCAGTATCTGTCTATATTTCTGAGATGAGGTATTATGTACACTATTTACATTATTCAGTCTATTGTCCTCATCTTTGTCGCCATATTTATTACATATAATATATATTTTATATGGCGACAAAGATGAGGACAATAGTCCAAATAATGTAAATAATGTACAAAATTACTAGTCCGAATGGAAAGACATTAATAGAAAAACATTTCTTACTCATTTTAATTGTGAAATCGCCTCAACTCAATTTTATCATAAAATACAAACCATTATATTGTATAGAGAAATTTTACAAAATAAATTAATTTAAGGTAATTTCAAAATTACGTTTAGAATAAAATCATTGAAAAGCAATTGATATAATAAAATTATTCTGATTGAATTTTCAAGTGAACCCCTTGACAATCAGTTATATTATAAAATCATTTCAGCGTCATTGTATAGTAATATCACTACGAATACATTGATAAGATTAAGGAATTTCAGATGTATTCTATAATAATTTCCAGATGATAGATTATAAAGGCCAACCAAAGTCAATCGACACATAAAACAATTTAAAATGCATTTTAAATAAGTAAACTATTTTATGCAGAAGTATTTTAAATTGAAATCGTTTACAGTTAACTTGTAACGTAAAATCATTTCCAAATTAATTTTATAGTAAAAATTTCAGAAATTAATATTAAAAATACTCTTTTCCAATGTATTTTCATAGTAAGAATCATTGGCCAATGCATTTTTATAGTAAAAGTCATTGGCCAATGCATTTTCATAGTAAAAATCATTGGCCAATGCATTTTCATAGCAAAAATCATTCGCCAATGCATTTTCATAGTAAAAATCATTTCCAATGCATTTTCATAATAAAAATCATTTCCAATGCATTTTCATAGTAAAAATCAATTCCCATGCATTTTCATAGTAAAAATCATTTCCAATGCATTTTCATAGTAAAAATCATTGTTCAATGCATTTTCATAGTAAAAATCATTGTTCAATGCATTTTCATAGTAAAAATCATTGGCCAATGCATTTTCATAGTAAAAATCATTGGCCAATGCATTTTCATAGTAAAAATCATTGGCCAATGCATTTTCATAGTAAAAATTATTGGCCAATGCATTTTCATAGTAAAAATCATTGGCCAATGCATTTTCATAGTAAAAATCATTGGCCAATGCATTTTCATAGTAAAAATCATTGGCCAATGCATTTTCATAGTAAAAATCATTGGCCAATGCATTTTTATAGTAAAAATCATTGGCCAATGCATTTTCATAGTAAAAATCCTTTCCAATGCATTTTCAAAGTAAAAATCAATTCCCATGCATTTTCATAGTAAAAATCACTGGCCAATGCATTTTCATAGTAAAAATCATTTCTAATGCATTTTCATAGTAAAAATCATTGGCCAATGCATTTTCATAGTAAAAATCATTTCCAATTCATTTTCATAGTAAAAATCATTGGCCAATGCATTTTGATAGTAAAAATCATTGCCAATGCATTTTCATAGTAAAAATCATTGGCCAATGCATTTTCATAGTAAAAATCATTGGCCAATGCATTTTCATAGTAAAAATTATTTCCAAGGCATTTTCACAGTAAAAATCATTGGCCAATGCATTTTCATAGTAAAAATCATTGGCCAATGCATTTTCATAGTAAAAATCATTGGCCAATCCATTTTCATGGTAAAAATCATTGGCCAATGCATTTTCATAGTAAAAAATGTCTCTGTGTGTATGTACGATGAATCACTGAAAATTTAGAAACATCTGGACAGGGAATAGAAACTATTTTTCAAACCATTTATCGTGCTCTTAATGCCTTGAAAACGAAACCCCGACTTAGCGTCCTCATGGTCTGATCATACTGGTCTACACTTTCGCTCGGTTGTTGTCACCTAGCGGCGAGGTGAGGAGCAACGTGAAAAAAATATTTTTCCTTAACAAACATTAACCTGCAAACAAATATTGAATGACGGAAGACAGCAACTAACAAACCAAAGACTTGGGTAAGAATAAATATTGCCAAATTTACATGTTATAAAGAAGAACAGGCAAACTTTTAAGCTTGTGATGAAGCGAAAATCAATGCAATTTGACACCTGCTCATGTGTGACGTTCGACTAATAATTTTATATTGGATTAGTAACAAGGGAAGATAACTGTGTTTATCTTCGCCTCACGTATATTTGTATTATTAATAAAAAGTATTGTTTTATTGGGATACCAGTATTGCCATAAGTTTATGTTTAAAATATGTATCAAATTCACCCTTGGTAGGGTGATATATCCACTGGGAGAAAAAGGTTTCCTAAGTGAAAAAAACTTAGAAAGGAGGAGAAAGGTCAAAATCCCGATTTTAAGGAAACTGAAGATTATGATATTTATAGAAAAAGGCAGAGATAAACTATATTATGGCTTAAATTCTGAAGAGACCCGTTTTTCAACTCGAGATTATGAAGGTTTACATCCCTGGATAACATTGTTGTAACTGTTTCACATTATCCTTGTCGAAGCAGGCCATGAATCATCTATCTATCTATCTATCTATCTATCTATCGCAAACTATTCATATCTATCTCTGTCTATTCATATCTATCTATCTATCTATCTATCTATCTATCTATCTATCTATCTATCTATCTATCTATCTATCTAAGTCTGTTCATATATATCTCTCTATCCTTCTCAGTTTGTTCAGATACTGTATAAGTCTGTCCATATCTATCTATCTATCTATCTATCTATCTATCTATCTATCTATCTATCTATGTCAGCCTTTTCATATCTATCTATCATCTATCTATCTATCATCTATCTATCTATCTATCTATCTATCTATCTATCGCAAACTATTCATATCTATCTCTGTCTATTCATATCTATCTATCTATCTATCTATCTATCTATCTATCTATCTATCTATCTATCTCGCTTCGTTGATATCTATCTATTTATCTATCTTAGCCTCTTCTCTATCTATCTATCTCTCTATCTATCTACCTCAGTCTGTTCATATCTATCTATCTATCTATCTATCTATCTATCTATCTATCTATCTATCTATACGGTCAGTCAATGTCGAAATGGCAAAGTTCGATGAGTGCATTTTTCATGATCAAGATGAACTAAGCAGTCACGAATAATGTCCACGTGAGTTCTTGACCTTTTTCTGATTTGTTAGACAGATGCGTCCGTTTCTGGGGAAATGACAGCTCTCTCCTTCGAGTCATGTCCTTTTTGCCAAAAGTATGGGAGAAGAAATTATACTTCCAATTTTTCTGCACAGACATTAATTACAATGAGGTATTGAAACTATTTACACTATTGTTGTGAGACCGTAACATACCTACAACATGGACTCTTCCAGGACTATATAAAGTATGCGATATAATACTCTAAGGGAAAAGGAGGACAGAGAGAGAGAGAGAGAGAGAGAGAGAGAGAGAGAGAGAGTGAGAGAGAGAGAGAGAGTATTCTACTACCGTAGTATCAGCCGCGTACGACTACCAATATTGGACACTAGCACATAGTAAGCTCCGTTTACACTTATACTATCTTTGTAACCTTTTTGTTTAATATATCTTTCTTACCTCTAATCCGTGTTCTGTGTTTTCCTTCCGTGGTCCCGACTTTGAGCCCACATCTGTGTCGACGAAGAATTCGAGAAACGCATTCACGTCGAAAACCGCAATACCTTGCCAGTCCCACATCAGTGGCGACAGAAAGATTCGAGAATTTCGTTCTCACCATATCAATAGCGACAGAGTACTCGAAAAATATACAGAAACTCCACGAGTTCCCACAGCAGTGTTGAATGAGAAATGAAGTTGGTATTACTACATCAGAGATTTAAACGCATCACCCAGCGTCTACATATATAAAAAAAATATATTCCGATACCAAACATCAGTGACGAACTAGCGATTCGACATCTACGGAATATTAAAGTCTGTCCAAGTAACATTACGAGAACGATTTCTTACACACCCACACACAGAAAAAAAAAACAGTTTCTTCGTAAAACAAACTGACAACACAAGAGCCGAAGTACTTCTTACGACTCAAGTTTTCGAAAAAACTATCTAAAACATTTTTTTATTTAACTGAGTTGAATCTCGTGCATAAAATTATTCTCCCCTCAAATTCACTGAGGCGAGTTTTCTCTTTTTTTGTATCTCTATAAAAAAAAATACATAAGTGTGGTGAAAATTTATATAATTACGTTAAAATTAACGGAACCACGGAATCTCAAAAAAGCTAAACACATAATTAGTTTAGTTTAACTAATTGTCTGTCCATATTTTTTTTTGTAAAGAAAAAAAAATCTATCAAGATTTTTTGTGTACCTCCCCTTGGTACACGGTTTTCAAAGCAACAAAAAAAATCGCTGTCATTTTTGTTTGTCTAAATATGGAAGATTTTCAAAAAGTAATTGCCCAAATGCTAAAAGTACATTTGGATCAGCAACAAAAATCAGAAGAAAGACAACAACAACTATTTTTAGAATTACATAAACAACAAATGGAATTCCAACAAATTACGCTTCAGAATGCTGAACTACAACAGAAACAACCTAAAGAATTACTCGTAAATGCATTAAAAAGCTCAAACTCTGAAAAAGATACAATATTCTCCCAGAGTGTAATCTACAATTCAATGGAAACATTTGAATACGTACCAGAGAACGACAAAACGTTCGAGGTGTTTTACAGGCGCTACGAAGATATTTTCAACGTAGACTATAAACAATGGTCCAGTAAAAAGAAGGTACGCCTTCTATTGAGAAAACTGGGAACTACAGAACATAGTAGGTTCGTAGACTTCATAATACCCAAGAAAATCACAGATTTGGATTTTTCAGAGATTATTAAGCTCCTATCGGAACTATTCGGGCCTAAAACAACCTTGTTCCACAAAGGTTGGAAATGCCTGGACACAGTCAAAGACAACCAGCAAGATTTTCTAACGTTTGCAAGCTCTGTAATGATTTTAAACTAGCCGAACTGACTGCCGATGATTTCAAGTGCTTAATGTACAAGGTCTAGAATCAGTATTGTTTAATATATCTTTCTTACCTCTAATCCGTGTTCCGTGTTTTCCTTCCGTGGTCCCGACATTGGACACACATCAACTATTTACATTGTTTGGACTGTTGTCCTCATCTTTATTGCAATATTCACCTTCAACATATGTCTCTATTTCTCAGATGAGGTATTATAACTATTTACACTATTTACATTGTTTGGAGTGTTGTCCTCATCTTTATTGCCATATTCACCTTCAACATCTGTCTCTATTTCTCAGATGAGGTATTGTAACTATTTACACTATTTACATTGTTTGGACTGTTGTTCTCATCTTTATTGCTATATTCACCTTCAACATTTGTCTCTATTTCTCAGATGAGGTATTGTAACTATTTACGCTATTTACATTGTTTGGACTGTCGTCCTCATCTTTATTGCCACATTCACAACGTTTCGGCTGTTGTATGCTTCAGCCTTCATCAGGTGATATACGTTGGTATTTCAAACCGAACCATTATTCAATGCACTGGTGTATTTTGTTCTAGTTCAACGTGTCATGCCTTTCTGGATGTCGCAATTTCAGTTAATTCCCTTTAGAAGCTCATCTCTCAAATATTTATGTTCTGAATGCGCAACTCCTTAAGGACCCATGGCCAAGTGAATAAAAGTATTTGTTGAAGTAATCCAGTTATTTGACCCACAATATTTGATCAAGGTTGACTGTGAGGAAAGACACCAGAAATGAGCTGGACGAGCGAGAATTGCAATAGAAGAAACCGTTAGCATAGAACTTGCGGTTACATCTAGCCATTTCAACTGTAAGCAATTACCGTTTAAGGGACATTCATTCTTTATTCTACAGTATTTATTAAATATTTTGAGTAGAGAGCTTGATTCGGGGAAGTGTTTGTTTAAGAGTTTCAAAAATATTTTACCTACGTTTGATTTTACGTTTTTACAGTACGGTGGTTTGAACCATATGATATTTCTCTTCCTGTTGGCCTTTTTTGTGCTCTGTGGTGATTATGTGAGTGTTGCCAGGAATCCACTATGTTTTAGGGCTCTTTCTTAGTATTTCTTAGCTCCGTTAAATATGGTTTTATTGCAAGAATTGTTGGAAAGCCTGCGGTTAATCGATTTTGGTATTTGATTATCGAAGGCGAATGAAAGTCCCTTAAACGTTAATTGCTTACAAAACAACGCAATATACCAAGCCACGGTAAAATCACCAGATAATGAAGAAAAAGTATACGAAGGAGTAACTGAAGGACCCTGGAAACAAAGAAAATATGCATACAAAATATCTCTCACAAATAGTAAATACGCGAACAGCACAATGCTTTCCAAGTATATATGGAAAATTAAAAACAAAACACAAATCCCACCAAAAATATCATGGAAAAAGAAGAAAAGAACATCAGTCTACAGCAATCAATCAAAACCCTGCAAACTTTGCGTGGAGGAAAAAATAGCTATTATTACCTTCCCAGACCAAAATAAATTACTAAATAAACGATCTGAGCTCATCTCAAAATGCATACATAAAAACAACTTTTTTACTACGTCACTTAAAAATCGAAAAATGAAATGAATAAATTCAAATAAACAATATAATATTAAAAAAAAACAAGTAAAATAAATTAACCAAAACAATTATATCCAAATTAACAAACCACTCCCGTTAGAATAGACGAAATAGAATAAATAAAAATACTTAAAAGCAAGTAAAGATAATCAAACCAAATAAATAAATAAAGTAAATTATAATAAAAATTAACAAACCAATCCCGCCAAAATAACCGTTAGAATAGATTACATCAAACAATTCAATAATTGGACTTAAAAAATAGCTAAATCTGATATGCAACAATAGAAAATCATTACTTACTTAAATATGGAAAACCAAATGGAGTAAATAAAATAAACAAAATAAAAAATAAGTAAATAAATAAAAAAACAAATAAAAATTAATCGAAACAAATAAATAAATTAACAAATCGCCCCGCTAAAATAACAGTTAGAACTAATAAAAATAAATAAGCAAGAACAAGTAAAATTAAGCCAAATAAATAGATAAATTAAAACTGTCCCTCGACAGAATAACAGAATAGACTACGGCAAGCAATACTCTATATTGGACGAATAAATAGTTTGAATTATCTTTCCTGGCCAAAACAAACCAATATATAAGCGACCTAAGCAAATCCAAATCCCCAATTCTGTTTTAACTACGTTAACAAAAATGTGAAACTGAAAAGACTCATTAATACAAAATGAAAGTAAATAAGTAATAAATAAAATAAATAAAGATTGCTTCTAGCATGAAACAGACTGTCGCCTCTTAATGTTGACTTCAATGTTCACTTTTATATTTACATACGCTCTATCTCTGATATTGAGCACCTTATACCATAAATATAGCACACATTAAGATTATATTTCTTCACCCACGTACACACAAAAAGACACACACGTATATATATATATATATATATATATATATATATATATATATATATATATATATATATACATATATATATATATATATATATAGAGAGAGAGAGAGAGAAGAATGAGATATATAGAAAGAAAATCGGATAGATAAGAATACTGAGCGATATAAACAGAAGCATATATATATATATATATATATATATATATATATATATAGATAGATAGATAGATAGATAGATAGATAGATAGATATTGACAAATGCAATAGATAGATAGATAGATAAGAACATACTGAGATATGAGCAGGTTAAAATAGACATAGATAGATAGATAGATAGATAGATAGATAGATAGATAGACAGATAGATATGAAAGGGTGACAGATAGATATGAGCAAAATAGATATGAATAAAATTATATAAAGTGTGATAGAAATGTCTATCAATCCCTCTATATATACTGGACAATCTCCTCACAAATAAAGAAAAGACTTGAAACAAGAGAAACAAAGAAAAGAGTACTGAACTGTTACGTAATATCAGTCCTCCTATATGGCAGTGAATGCTGGACAATCTCCTCACAGATGAAGAAGAGACTTGAAACAACAGAAACAAAGAAAAGATTACTGAACTGTTACGTAACATCAGTCCTCCTATATGGCAGTGAATGCTGGACAATCTCCTCACAGATGAAGAAGAGACATGAAACAATAGAAACAAAGAAAAGAGTACTGAACTGTTATGTAATATCAGTCCTCCTTTATGGCAGTGAATGCTGGACAATCTCCTCACAGATGAAGAAGAGACTTCAAACAACAGAAACAAAGAAAAGAGTACTGAAATGTTACGTAATATTAGTCCTCCTATATGGCACTGAATGCTGGACAATCTCCTCACAGATGAAGAAGAGACTTGAAACAATAGAAACAAAGAAAAGAGTACTGAACTGTTACGTAATATCAGTCCTCCTATATGGCACTGAATGCTGGACAATCTCCTCACAGATGAAGAAGAGACTTGAAACAATAGAAACAAAGAAAAGAGTACTGAACTGTTACGTAATATCAGTCCTCCTATATGGCACTGAATGCTGGACAATCTCCTCACAGATGAAGAAGAGACTTGAAACAACAGAAACAAAGAAAAGAGTACTGAGCTGTTACGTAATATCAGTCCTCCTATATGGCACTGAATGCTGGACAATCTCCTCACAGATGAAGAAGAGACTTGAAACAATAGAAACAAAGAAAAGAGAGTACTGAACTGTTACGTAATATCAGTCCTCCTATATGGCAGTGAATGCTGGACAATCTCCTCACAGATGAAGAAGAGACTTGAAACAACAGAAACAAAGAAAAGAGTACTGAACTGTTACGTAATATCAGTCCTCCTATATGGCAGTGAATGCTGGACAATCTCCTCACAGATGAAGAAGAGACATGAAACAAGAGAAACAAAGAAAAGAGTACTGAACTGTTACGTAATATCAGTCCTCCTATATGGCAGTGAATGCTGGACAATCTCCTCACAGATGAAGAAGAGACTTGAAACAATAGAAACAAAGAAAAGAGTACTGAACTGTTACGTAATATCAGTCCTCCTATATGGCAGTGAATGCTGGACAATCTCCTCACAGATGAAGAAGAGACATGAAACAATAGAAACAAAGAAAAAAGTACTGAACTGTTACGTAATATCAGTCCTCCTATATGGCAGTGAATGCTGGACAATCTCCTCACAGATGAAGAAGAGACTTGAAACAATAGAAACAAAGAAAAGAGTACTGAACTGTTACGTAATATCAGTCCTCCTATATGGCAGTGAATGCTGGACAATCTCCTCACAGATGAAGAAGAGACATGAAACAACAGAAACAAAGAAAAGAGTACTGAACTGTTACGTAATATCAGTCCTCCTATATGGCAGTGAATGCTGGACAATCTCCTCACAGATGAAGAAGAGACTTGAAACAACAGAAACAAAGAAAAAGAGTACTGAACTGTTACGTAATATCAGTCCTCCTATATGGCAGTGAATGCTGGACAATCTCCTCACAGATGAAGAAGAGACTTGAAACAAGAGAAACAAAGAAAAGAGTACTGAACTGTTACGTAATATCAGTCCTCCTATATGGCAGTGAATGCTGGACAATCTCCTCACAGATGAAGAAGAGACTTGAAACAACAGAAACAAAGAAAAAGAGTACTGAACTGTTACGTAATATCAGTCCTCCTATATGGCAGTGAATGCTGGACAATCTCCTCACAGATGAAGAAGAGACATTGAAACAACAGAAACAAAGAAAAGAGTACTGAACTGTTACGTAATATCAGTCCTCCTATATGGCAGTGAATGCTGGACAATCTCCTCACAGATGAAGAAGAGACATGAAACAACAGAAACAAAGAAAAGAGTACTGAACTGTTACGTAATATCAGTCCTCCTATATGGCAGTGAATGCTGGACAATCTCCTCACAGATGAAGAAGAGACATGAAACAACAGAAACAAAGAAAAGAGTACTGAACTGTTACGTAATATCAGTCCTCCTATATGGCAGTGAATGCTGGACAATCTCCTCACAGATGAAGAAGAGACATGAAACAACAGAAACAAAGAAAAGAGTACTGAACTGTTACGTAATATCAGTCCTCCTATATGGCAGTGAATGCTGGACAATCTCCTCACAGATGAAGAAGAGACTTGAAACAAGAGAAACAAAGAAAAGAGTACTGAACTGTTACGTAATATCAGTCCTCCTATATGGCAGTGAATGCTGGACAATCTCCTCACAGATGAAGAAGAGACTTGAAACAAGAGAAACAAAGAAAAGAGTACTGAACTGTTACGTAATATCAGTCCTCCTATATGGCAGTGAATGCTGGACAATCTCCTCACAGATGAAGAAGAGACTTGAAACAAGAGAAACAAAGAAAAGAGTACTGAACTGTTACATAATATCAGTCCTCCTATATGGCAGTGAATGCTGGACAATCTCCTCACAGATGAAGAAGAGACATGAAACAAGAGAAACAAAGAAAAGAGTACTGAATTGTTACGTAATATCAGTCCTCCTATATGGCAGTGAATGCTGGACAATCTCCTCACAGATGAAGAAGAGACATGAAACAAGAGAAACAAAGAAAAGAGTACTGAACTGTTACGTAATATCAGTCCTCCTATATGGCAGTGAATGCTGGACAATCTCCTCACAGATGAAGAAGAGGCTTGAAACAACAGAAACAAAGAAAAGAGTACTGAACTGTTACATAATATCAGTCCTCCTATATGGCAGTGAATGCTGGACAATCTCCTCACAGATGAAGAAGAGACTTGAAACAAGAGAAACAAAGAAAAGAGTACTGAACTGTTACGTAATATCAGTCCTCCTATATGGCAGTGAATGCTGGACAATCTCCTCACAGATGAAGAAGAGACTTGAAACAAGAGAAACAAAGAAAAGAGTACTGAACTGTTACGTAATATCAGTCCTCCTATATGGCAGTGAATGCTGGACAATCTCCTCACAGATGAAGAAGAGACATGAAACAAGAGAAACAAAGAAAAGAGTACTGAACTGTTACGTAATATCAGTCCTCCTATATGGCAGTGAATGCTGGACAATCTCCTCACAGATGAAGAAGAGACTTGAAACAACAGAAACAAAGAAAAGAGTACTGAACTGTTACGTAATATCAGTCCTCCTATATGGCAGTGAATGCTGGACAATCTCCTCACAGATGAAGAAGAGACATGAAACAAGAGAAACAAAGAAAAAGAGTACTGAACTGTTACGTAATATCAGTCCTCCTATATGGCAGTGAATGCTGGACAATCTCCTCACAGATGAAGAAGAGACTTGAAACAACAGAAACAAAGAAAAGAGTACTGAACTGTTACGTAATATCAGTCCTCCTATATGGCAGTGAATGCTGGACAATCTCCTCACAGATGAAGAAGAGACATGAAACAATAGAAACAAAGAAAAGAGTACTGAACTGTTACGTAATATCAGTCCTCCTATATGGCAGTGAATGCTGGACAATCTCCTCACAGATGAAGAAGAGACATGAAACAACAGAAACAAAGAAAAGAGTACTGAACTGTTACGTAATATCAGTCCTCCTATATGGCAGTGAATGCTGGACAATCTCCTCACAGATGAAGAAGAGACATGAAACAACAGAAACAAAGAAAAGAGTACTGAACTGTTACGTAATATCAGTCCTCCTATATGGCAGTGAATGCTGGACAATCTCCTCACAGATGAAGAAGAGACATGAAACAAGAGAAACAAAGAAAAGAGTACTGAACTGTTACGTAATATCAGTCCTCCTATATGGCAGTGAATGCTGGACAATCTCCTCACAGATGAAGAAGAGACATGAAACAACAGAAACAAAGAAAAGAGTACTGAACTGTTACGTAATATCAGTCCTCCTATATGGCAGTGAATGCTGGACAATCTCCTCACAGATGAAGAAGAGACTTGAAACAAGAGAAACAAAGAAAAGAGTACTGAACTGTTACGTAATATCAGTCCTCCTATATGGCAGTGAATGCTGGACAATCTCCTCACAGATGAAGAAGAGACATGAAACAAGAGAAACAAAGAAAAGAGTACTGAACTGTTACGTAATATCAGTCCTCCTATATGGCAGTGAATGCTGGACAATCTCCTCACAGATGAAGAAGAGACATGAAACAAGAGAAACAAAGAAAAGAGTACTGAACTGTTACGTAATATCAGTCCTCCTATATGGCAGTGAATGCTGGACAATCTCCTCACAGATGAAGAAGAGACATGAAACAAGAGAAACAAAGAAAAGAGTACTGAACTGTTACGTAATATCAGTCCTCCTATATGGCAGTGAATGCTGGACAATCTCCTCACAGATGAAGAAGAGACATGAAACAAGAGAAACAAAGAAAAGAGTACTGAACTGTTACGTAATATCAGTCCTCCTATATGGCAGTGAATGCTGGACAATCTCCTCACAGATGAAGAAGAGACTTGAAATAACAGAAACAAAGAAAAGAGTACTGAACTGTTACGTAATATCAGTCCTCCTATATGGCAGTGAATGATGGACAATCTCCTCACAGATGAAGAAGAGACATGAAATAAGGGAAACAAAGAAAAGAGTACTAAACTGTTACGTAATATCAGTCCTCCTATATGGCAGTGAATGCTGGACAATCTCCTCACAGATGAAGAAGAGACTTGAAATAAGAGAAACAAAGAAAAGAGTACTGAACTGTTACGTAATATCAGTCCTCCTATATGGCAGTGAATGCTGGACAATCTCCTCACAGATGAAGAAGAGACTTGAAACAACAGAAACAAAGAAAAAAGTACTGAACTGTTACGTAATATTAGTCCTCCTATATGGCAGTGAATGCTGGACAATCTCCTCACAGATGAAGAAGAGACATGAAA